AGAAGGCTGTTTCCAGTGGCACTTTGCACAGTTCAGTACAGGAATCCTTGCTTTTTGTGATATTAGTCAACAGTTTGAATGTAAATGTTGGGAACATGATCAGGTTGTTTGGAAAAGACACAAAAATTAGCCACATAATATATAGTGATGGAAATAGCCATGGACTGCAGCAGGATGCCAATGGATTTATCAGATGGACAGACGGTGACAGTATAATTAAACAAAGAGAAATGTGACGTGAATATTCTTGTGGAGATCAAACAATGAAAGGAATTATATAACTAATGAAAGACTATTGAAAGGGGCCTTGGAGTGAATATCCTTGAAATCCTTGATCCTGGAAACAAAAAGGGCAGCACAGGGACTCAGTGGTTAGCACTGCTGCCTCACAGCGCCAGGGACCTGGGTTTGATTCCACCCTTTAGGTGACTGACTGTGTGGAGTTTGCACATTCTCCCTGTGTCAGCGCAGGTTTTCTCCGGGTACTCCGCTTTCCTTCCACAGTCCAAAGATATGCAGGTTAGGGTGGATTGGCCATGCTAAATTGCCCATAATGTTCAGGGATGTGCAGGCTAGGTGGTTAGCCGTAGGAACTGCAGGTTATTGGGATAGGAAAAGGGGGTTGGATCTGGATGGATGGTCTTCGGAGCATCAGTGTGGACTCAGTGGGCTGAATGGCCTACTTCCACTCTGTAAGGATTCTATGAAAAACAAAAATGCCGGGAAATCTCAGTGGATCTGGCAGCATTGGGACCGGTTCTGGAGGAGGTGGCACAGAACAAGCTGGAGAGGTTGCATCTGAGCAGGACCAGAAGTGATGTCTTGGGGAATGTACTTATGAGTGAAGTTGAGGATGGTTTAAATTAAAATGATAGGAGTTTGGGAACCTATACTAGGGAGACAGATGACATGGCAATTAGAGTGGAACAAAAGACAGAATGGTAAATAAGAAAGGTGATAGGTAGAGAATTCAAGGCAAGAGTCGCGCACAAGTGAATGGACTAAGAGTGATAAAAGCCTTAGGACTTGTGCCTTAATGTGTCGCACATTCACAATAAAATGGATGAATTCATCACGAAAATAGATCTGTGTAACATGTGGGGATTACAGGGATGTGCTGCAAGATGATCAGGAATGGGAACTGACTATCTCGGGGTTTTCAGTTTTTAAAAAGGACAGACAAAAAGGTAAAGGAGGTTGGTTTGCACTGCTGATTGAACAAGAAATTAATACAATTCTGAGGAAAGCTATTAGCTTTGATGAAGTAGAATCTGTAAGGGTTGAACTTAGAAACATTAATGAACTAATTAATTGAGACCAACAGTACTGATTGAATCATATGAAAGGTTCATGAGTTCTTGATCCACGGGCAGAGGGAAAGGGTTTGGGAAGCTTTTGGAATATGTAATGAGCTAGTTTATGGATATGTTTGATTTGGAATTTCGGTTTGAATTATTTTAACATGTTGATGATGGTTTCAAAGTTAGCTTCCAGAAGAATATGGTGAAGTTGATGAGGGGCCATTGTGGTGACTGTATGCAGGAAAATTCTTCTCTTACAATCTCACTGGGGGATTTCTGAATCAGACAAGAATCATTAAGATTCTGTTTAATTAATAAGGAAACAGAATGGAAGCTAACTACTCAAAGCCATTTAGCACATTGTAACATCTGGCCTCACTACATTAGTTACATCTTGTATTTAATGTTTTACCCAGTTACTGATATGGACAAAAATAGACTTTCCGCATGTCTAGTTCAGAATAAAAAAAGGCATCAGCAAGGTGTCTTTCATAAAGAATAAAATTATTTATTTATGATAAAAGCAAGAGTAACTCAACAAAGATTTAAAGTTTATTAACACAGTTTGAAATCTGAATATACAAGTACTTATCATTCTGAATAACCTAACACAGGTATGCTCATGGTAGTTTAAAAAAAGACGAAATAAATCTTTTCTAAAGAGATTAACTTTGGATAAAAAACACATTGGCCAAATTTTTGTTCATTTTTAGAGGGTAAAGGAAAAGTATAAATGGTTCCAGGTGGCTTTCAGACTAGTGTATTTGCATACATAGACTGGTGGCACTAGACACATGCAGTCATCACTGGGACATTCCCACAAGGCTCTTAAGGTGAATAGTTGTTTGGGTTTTTCAGCTGTCACATGGGATCCTCAAAGGGGAATCTAAATTTTCCCACAGCTGCATAGTGATGAGACACAATGAGTGTATTATGTACGGTTTTATTTAAGAAAGGGTGTATATATTGAAACATTGAAAATAAGAGCTGGATTAGGCCATTCAGCCCTTCAAGCCTGCTCTGGCATTCAAGATGATCATGACTGATCATCCAAATCAATAACCTTTTCCTAATTTCTTCCCATATTCTTGGATCCCTTTAGTCCCATGTGCTATATCCAACTTCTTGGAATGATACAATGTTTTGGTCTTGACTGCTTTTTGTGGTGGCAAATTCCACAGGCTCACCACTCTCTAGGTGACAAAATTTATATTCAACTCAGTCTTAAATGGTTTACTCCATATTTCTTAGATTGTGACCCTAAATTCTGAACTGCCTGCCATTAGGAACATGTTTGCTACAGCTACCCTATCTAGCCCAGTTAGAATTTTATAACTTTTTATGAAATCCCCCTTATTCTGAATTCCAGCAAATATAATCCTAACATATTCAATCTCTCCTCATATGTCAGGCCCACCATCACTTTGTTGCATTCCCTCCATAGCAAGAACAGGAAAAAGACAATGTTGTCGAGGAGAATACTGAGATACAGTCTATTAGACTAGACGGGATTGAGGTTCATAAGGATGAGGTGTTAGCAATTCTGGAAGGTGTGAAAATAGATAAGTCTCCTGGGCCGGATGGGATTTATCCTAGGATTCTCTGGGAAGCTAGAGAGGAGATTGCAGAGCCTTTGGCTTTGATCTTTATGTCGTCATTGTCTTCAGGAATAGTGCCAGAAGGCTGGAGACGAGCAAATGTCGTCCCCTTGTTCAAGAAGGGGAGTAGAGACAATCCTGGTAATTATAGACCAGTTAGCCTTACTTCGGTTATGGGTAAAGTGTTGGAAAGGATTATAAGAGATAGGATTTATAATCATCTAGAAAGGAATAATTTGATTAGGGATAGTCAACACGGTTTTGTGAAGGGTAGGTCGTGCCTCACAAACCTTATTGAGTTCTTTGAGAAGGTGACCAAACAGGTGGATGAGGGTAAAGCGGTTGATGTGGTATATATGGATTTCAGTAAAGCGTTTGATAAGCTTCCCCATGGTAAGCTATTGCAGAAAATACGGAGGCATGGGATTGAGGGTGATTTAATGGTTTGGATCAGAAATTGGCTAGCTGTAAGAAGACAGAGGGTGGTGGTTGATGGGAAATGTTCATCCTGGAGTTCAGTTACTAGTGGTGTACCTCAAGGATCTGTTTTGGGGCCACTGCTGTTTGTCATTTTTATAAATAACCTGGATGAGGGCGTAGATGGATGGGTTAGTAAATTTGCGGATGACACCAAAGTCGGTGGAGTTGTGGATAGTGCGGAAGGATGTTGAAGGTTACAGAGGGACATAGATAAGCTGCAGAGCTGAGCTGAGAGGTGGCAAATGGAGTTTAGTGCGGAAAAGTGTGAGGTGATTCACTTTGGAAGGAGTAACAGGAATACAGAGTACTGGGCTAATGGTAAGATTCTTGGTAGTGTGGATGAGCAGAAAGATCTCGGTGTCCATGTGCATAGATCACTGAAAGTTGCCACCCAGGTTGATAGGGTTGTTATGAAGGCGTATGGTGCGTTAGGTTTTATTGGTAGAGGGATTGAGTTTCGGAGCCATGAGGTCATGTTGCAGCTGTACAAAACTCTGGTGCGGCCCCACTTGGAGTATTGCGTACAGTTCTGGTCACCGCATTATAGGAAGGATGTGGAAGCATTGGAAAGGGTGCAGAGGAGATTTACCAGGATGTTGCCTGGTATGGAGGGAAGGTCTTATGAGGAAAGGCTGAGGGTCTTGAGGCTGTTTTCGTTAGAGAGAAGAAGGTTAAGAGGTGACTTGATAGAGACATACAAGATGATCAGAGGATTAGATAGGGTGGACAGTGGGAGCCTTTTTCCTCGGATGGTGATGGCTAGCACGAGGGGACATAGCTTTAAATTGAGGGGTGATAGATATAGGACAGATGTCAGAGGTAGGTTCTTTACTCAGAGAGTAGTAAGGGCGTGGAATGCCCTGCCTGCAAAAATAGTAGACTCGCCCACTTTAAGGGCATTTAAATGGTCATTGGATAAACATATGGATGATAATG